CAGACACACACACACACACACCACACACACACACACACACACACACCACCACCACCACCTCCACGACCCCTCCCTTGCACGCCCCCGCCCCCCGCCCCCCTCCCCTGCACCTCTCCCTCGCACTCCTCTGCCACCGCGGCATGTCCCCGCCCTCGCCACCCGCCGCGCCTCCTCCTCTGACTGGCTGGTGCCCGCTCGCAGGCTCGCGGTCGGGCCCCGCCTCTGTGTACTATGGCCGCGAGCCAACGCCGCCGCCGCTCGCCGCCCCCGTGGCCTCCGCCAGCCGAGCCGCGGCCGAGCCAGCAGCACCATCCTCGCCACAGCCGCCGCGGCGCCGAAAAGCGACGTGAGAGTCGGCGCCGGGGCGAGAGAGACGAGGCGGCGAGTGCGGCGGCTTGCTGAGCATGTTGAGGCATGAGTGAGATCTAGTGGGAGAGGGGAGAGGCGAGGGTGTCGAGAGACTGCAGCGAGGGTCCCGTGTGAACTCTCGCGCGTGCCGCTTCCCGCTTGCTGCGATCTAGCTTCTTGGGAAACGATGCATCGTGTGTGGTCGATGGCCGTATATAGAAGGTACCCCTACAAGGCGATTCTGAGAGCGCGCGCCGGAATTTTGCACGCCTTTTTTCAAAGAAATGAGCAGGTGTTTGTGTCCGCGTCTCAATTTGTGAAGAGAATTTGTGTGCGGGCCGGGGGCTGTGCCCAGTGGCGTTTTTGCGTTTTCAAATGCGTTTTCCCATTTCTTCTGACTGTCGGTGCTGTCTCTCCCTTCTCTCGACTGTCTCGCCTTGTGGAGCCGACGTCGAGCTAACTGCGCGCTCGGCGAAAGAGGTGCCTGCGCGCCAACCACACCCGCCCGCGCCGGCGCCCGGTGTGTTTTGAAAGTTGATTTGACACCATTTTCGGTATACATTAACCTCGCGACCCCGGGGGGGTGCCATTGTGTGGCCCAGAGATGGCGTGCACCACCTGGGCCCTTACAAAGAAATGTTGGAGCAGGTGTCTGAAACGCAAAAAATGCGGGAACTTTGTCTTTGAAAAGCAAAATCATTTTGGCATTTGCCGAATTACGCGCGATTTGGGCATTTGGGGGGGGCTCTATAGAGAGGCGTTTAAGAGATTCATGTCCTCTTGTCCTCCCAATCGCGTCCCCGTCCGCACACGCGCATCCCCTTGCCGCATCGCCCTCCCTTTTTCCTTGACCAGTCCTTGACATTTGAAATGAGTTGCAGTTGGCACTTGCGACTCGGTTTGGAGCACTTGAGCGGGTTGGCTGTTACCTGTTTCTTTGTTCTTCTGGTACCTCGTGTGTCGAAGCTCGAACATGTGTGCTGTGCGAGAAAATGTGTTAATTGAATTCTTTCTTGTTTAAGAGATTGCCATTTAAAAGGTGTTGAGTCCACAAAACTTCGTTTCATGCAGTGGTCAGCCCGACTCGCTGAGCAGGCGACCGGGCTGCACCGCCTGTCGGTCCGCGGAGATCAGATCACGCCGCCAGACGGCCCCGCCTCTCCCACTCTCCACAACGGCAGGACCAGCCCAGCAAAGCCGCGCATCTTTGTCGACTCGCGGTCGCAATCACCGACCCGGGGGGGCACATCTGACGACGACCAGCTATGGGGCTCGGTGCCCGCGTGGAGCTCTCCGGGGTCCAGGTTTGTGTCGCCAGAGGCAAACGGGTCGCCAAAGGGAGTGCTGATGCGACCGCCGAGTGCACTTCAGTGGGGGCAGCCCCTGGCGGGATCGGGAAAGCGCCCTGCGACCGCAAACCGCGAACCTACGTCGCCAACCAATTTGTGTTTGAAGCGCCCGTCTACCGCCAGCACGGTGCGTTCATCGACAGCAACGGTCCGCTCCCCCGCTTTTTCGAACTGGCTCCGCCCTAGCTCGGCCCCGCAGCAGCAACTGCAGCAACAAAGCCAGGTGTCGGTTGCCAATTGGCTCTTTAGCGCACCGCTGCCGCTTCACCGCGACGCGCCGACGCACGATACAGCGCGTCGCCGAGCACCAAAACGCTTGACAAAGGGCGAGGGCGCCTCCCGACTGACCCCCCAGGCCCAGCGGCCTCCGTCTCCCGCCTCTCTCGAGGAGGCCCCGCCACGCTGCTCTTCTCCAAGCGCACTCCGGACGTCGCAAAGGCCGGTTCGCCGGCCAAGCTCCCCGGCGGGCCGCTTGGAGCCTTGGTGTATTCCGACGGTGGACGGCGCCGGCGCCGATGCCGATGTGGTGACGACGCTCAGCGTGAGTCCGAAGGCACTGCACCGAACGGTGGTGCTGTGCAAGCCCCCAGTCGCAGCGGCGGCAGAGCGGTGGCGACCACGGAGCAAAGGGGCAATCTTCTGAGAAGCGCATGCCTCGGCAGCGACGCTTCGGACTCGAGCCCCCCGCAAGCGCAGCGCTATGGGCGCGACGTGTCCGTGTGGTGTTGTGGCCACCTCACCGACTAGCTGCACGCACGTAGACGTACACACAATATCTCTATCGTTTCGGCAAGCAATCGAGGAGCTGGGCCATGGACTTGACGGAGTCCTCTGGGAGTGTGTGGGGAGATCTCAGCGCACCAGAGCAGTATCGGCTATCGGACAGTTGCCAGTTCGCACCCCCCCCCCCCCCGAAGTGCACATTTAGTGCACGCCAACAGCAGGAACAGCGAACTCACGCCCCACACACGTGCAGGTACTCCCATAAATAAATAAATAAAACGGACACCTCTACTAGGAGATGGGTAAAGGTACTCCCATGGTATACGTATGGAGGAGAAGTTTCTCCGAGACCTCACGAGCGGACAGATGTCCTCTTGCCCGTGCAGTCCACGACGTTGGGGGATCGGCGAACAATAAATAAATTAAAAACGGACACCTCTACTGTGAGATGGGTAAAAAGGAACAGGTCCCCGCCCTTGCGATCTGTGTGCAGGGTTCTTTGTGGGTGTGGTCGGCGACTAGCCGGGGTCGTCGCAGGCACTGGTTTTATTGTAGAGTCGGTGGTGGGGGCCGATGCTGTCGTAACGTGTCGTGTCGTGCGGCCCGGGCGGTCAAGGTCGCGGACCCGGTAAGCGGTATCTGAGATATGGAAAACAGCGCGATTGCTACAAGTACAAGTACAACCGTTCAACTACAAGTGTCAAGCGGCTGAAACATGGTGTGCCGAATATTTTTGTAAACGGATTTTGACATTCTCGCCTTAGGGGCCCCCTAGGCTTAAAAGGGTGGGCCCTGGGGCGCCTGCGGCTTAAACGGCTTAAAACCGGCCTAGGCAAGTTTGAAGAGCTGCTGGGACGCCGATTCCTTAAACGGTCTTAAACGCTTAAACGGTGCGGGAGAGGCTCCCGACGTCGATGGTCCGGGAGGCTCCCGGCAGACGCCGGAGGCTGGGAAGCTAGGAGCACCTGCCACCGGCCTCCGGAGCTGCTCTGGTCGCGGCGGCGTACGAGCGCAAGTGAGACGACCCCCCCCGGAGGCAGCGATGTCACACCGCCTCCCTGCCGTCCATCTACTTCCTCGCCCAATCCCCCGGTCCGTCCCACGGTCGCCGTCATGTCGATGGTGGCGGAAGGCGAGGCAAGGTCGGGCATGTCGTCGACAAGGGCAGCAGCTAGGAGGGAGGGCGGTCCGAATTCCTGTCGGATCCCGTCTCTCTGAGTGATTCTGAGATCAGGTTGGGCGTTTCCCCTTTGGAGGCAGACATTTCAGAAAGCGAATCCCAGGCCGCATCTCCCCGCTCGAAGCGGGGAACCCGTCCCGGGCGCCCGCTGGAAGCGGGGGCGCCCGCTCGAAGCGGGGGGCGCCCTCTCGAAGCGGTGGCGGCGCAGGCTGCCACCGCTGCCCGGGCGCGCCGAGCGGCGGCGGAGGGCCGCCCAGGCCACCACCAGTGCCTCTCCCACCGGCGGCGCGGCGGCAGTGGCGCCGACCGCCCCTCCATCAGCGGCGGCGCGAGGCTGTCGTCGGGACGCCGGCAGGTGACGCGCGAATAGGGTGCCACCGGACCGGCCGACGAGCACCCAGCGGAGCCGTCATCGTGCATGGCGAGCCGAGCACCGCCGCGTCGCTTCTCGGCGCATTGGAGAGCAGAGGAAGCTGCTGGCGTCGCGGCTGGGATCGGCAGCGGCGCCAGCAGCTTTCTCGGATCTGAAGCGACTTTGAGCGCCGATCGATCGATCTGAGGGCTGACCGATGGGTGGCGCTGGGAGGAAGACCGCGCCACCCGTCGGCCAGCCCTCAGCTCCGCGACGGCGACTCGATAGTCGTGGCCGGCGCTCGGCTGCCACTCTAAGCTGTGCCGCCAGGCGCTCCTTCGAACCGTGACGTCACTTCTTATGGATGCGGCACTAGGGACGCCCAATGTTTTCGTAAATATAGAAGCCACTCTCTCGCGTGTGGAAGCCACGACTGCGTAGTCGTGCTCCCCCGGAGCACGCGCCATAGAGCGCCGGTTGTGTACCGGGCGCACCCGCAGCCGTACACACTGCTGTGCCACCTGCCAGGGGGGCGCCGCAGGCGCCGCAAGCGGCGCGGAGCGCCGCCGCAGGCGGCGGACAGCAGGTGCGCAAAATTAAACGCCATTTTCGGTTCCGCAGTTTTGCCACTAACGTCGAAATCCGGTACAAATCGAGACTTCGACGAGAGCCGAGCCCCCCACGAAAACCACAGAGGGGCGCGCGGACAGCGCGCCGCCAGGGGCGCCGCAGGCGCCTCAAGCGGTGCGGAGCGCCGCCACAGGCGGCGGACAGCAGGTGCGCGAAATTAAACGCCATTTTCGGTTCCGCGGTTTTGGCACTGTCTACCAACTTTGTGGTACAAATCGACTTGCACTTGGTCTGAGCCCTGCGCTGCGTTTGAGCCTCCATTCTGAAAGTGTACGTAGAAGGGAAGGCAGCAGGTCCGGCTTGCGAACTCCGCTGTGCGCCGACAAGCGGTATGGCGCCGAGCGTAGAGGCCATTTTCCTATTAGAAAAGGCTGTCGAGAGCGCAAAATTTTCTTCGCTGCGCGCCCAACCATGGTGGGCACGCAGCGGGCGCCTGCGGCGCCAAATTTTTGAAATGTCTGCCAGTCGCCCAACCTGATCTCAGAATCACTCGTAGGTACTAGTGAGGACAGGTCTGCCACCCACCCCCCACAGAGATTTCACATGGCGAGGGAGCCGAGCTGCTCCTTGGCGCCCTCGAGGCGACCCTTTTGCATCCCGAGCCCGTACTTGACCGACCCCTTGGCCAGCATCGCCTTGATCACCGCGTCGGGCGGCACGCGGTCGCGGATGCAAACCTCGATCAGCGCGTCCGAGACGATCAGCGCGTCGAACCCGAGGTCGCGTGCCTGTGGCGCGGGCGCCGGACGCCTCGGAGCGGGCTGCGGCTCTCGACTCGCAAGAGAGGACACGAGCGGCGCCTTCCACGCTCCACGCACGTCCCGCACGCGCACGTCGCAGATCGAGCGCACCTGCGGGGGAGGGGTCCGGGACGGGTCAGGGAGGGGCTCAGGCCGCCTCGCACGCGCGCGTCGCGGGCCGAGCGCACGTCCTTTGGCAGCTCGGCGACCAGCTCTCCCGCCTGCGGCAGCGAGCAGTCGCCTATGCAGAGGAGCTTGGCGCCG